CCTTTATCGAGTCTATTTCGGTGCTTCTTGCATTCATACATAGGATACGATGACCATAAAAACGATAAAGCTCTCGGCATTGTTCAATGCCTGTGGAATGCGCCATGCATTCACTTCATTAAGCGTCGTTTGGAGGTGATCGAATGCATATATGACCTATACAACAACTCGCGGTAGCCTAGCGATGTATCGAGCCAGTGCTGCTATCCTCCCAGACAGGTCTGGTACCAATTTACCGACCCCGGAAAAAAGAAGGCTTGGTGGGCCATAGGTGCGGGGATTGATATTACGTGCGTGTTGCAGGGCGCCTCCGACCACTGCGCCATACGCGCCCTTAAAGATGATCATAGCGATTAAAGTGAACGAACAGTTAAATGTTAGTCAAATTATCGGTCAGTGAAGTTTTTCGAAGAGAGGGTTTGCATATGATTTAGTGCAGGGAATGGTTCTTCTGCTCTCACCCCTACTACAATCTACTTTCTGGCTATCGAAGGATTATGCATAGTGCGGTAAAAAAAATCTCTTGGACCCTATAATTTCACAGTGCACACTATAGTGTCTGCACGTGGCGTTATGCGCTATGGGACACAAAGAGCATATCACATACGCGACACTCCTATTGTTCTTGACGTAGGTGTAACCTTAGCAGTGCGCTCGTCTGGCCCTGCTAAAAGTGTCAGAGGTGAAATATAACTTGGCAGAGATCGATAGAACTAGCTGAGAGACAGGCGAAACGAAGGACCCCCATGGTGTGGTGGTGAACGCTTTACTCCCCGGAAAGGACAATAGCGCGTTCGTTCTCCAACGCAACACCTGCGGTCCGGAGTTTTTGCAAATATCTCAGCATCATTGAAGTTATATTTCGCAATATATACCCTGCCATTAAAAAGAGTAGGCAGTAAACAATAAGTTAAAAATGGTGTCAGAAGTGCTTTAGATGGAAAAACATTTTCAACAGTCAGTTATGATTCATACTGAACAAGTAGCATAGTAGTTAGAGATACCCAGAAGGGCATATTTAGCCGTTGGTTCGGTTCCGCGTCGTTGGCAAATCGAACCACCCACCGTATTTACGATGCTTGATAGAATCGAATGCGTGGCTCATCCTCAAGGGACTGGTCAAGACGGGATACTTTATCCTTTCTTCTTTAAGCAATGGTTTTAAAGATTCGAGGTTTCTTATCTCAGAAAACAATTGTTTGCTAAACAATTACCGTCGCACTTCACTCTTACTCTGAATTTTGAAAGGAATTTTAAAAAATGAATAAGAAATAGGGGCTATGGTATAAGTGGTTACTCAGTGTTATAGAAAGTTACTACCGTACTCATTAAATATAAGTCTATTAAAGAGAATGAAGGTTTATTTGCTTCCTACAACCATTTTCGTCGAGCAGCACTTGACTATCTTCAAGTTTAACCCATCATTTAGAAGCTTTTTAAGTTTAGAAAAGTAGATTTTCTAAGGCTTATTGTAAAGCTTCAAGCTCTATTGCAAAGTATGACAGGTGTTTCAGATCAATATCAGTCAGTTCTTATTCCATTGTACCTCCTCTACGGCTTTCCTGGTCCTGAGAGCTTCCTCTAGAAATCCGCTTTACAAATACGATAAACGATGTGGCTGGGATTTACGGTAGTTCTACGGTCTTCACGCCACAAAAAGTATTCGATCGGCATGTTTGAAGTGGTAAATAGTGATCGGGTAAACACAAGGTGTCACTCGGTGTGCTGACCCGATTGTACTGCTCTCACGCGCATTGACTGCTTCGTAATGCAATAAGATCTCTAACCCAAAAATTCGCCATTACTATCTAGAGGGAGTGGAATAACCAGGAACAACCTCCGCGATAGATTAAGATGGAAAACTCACATATCAACACTATTCAGAAGTGTTTAATGTAGGATTAATCATGTAACTACTGCAGTAGCCAGCAATGCAACGCACTAGGCCGTAGTACAGTATCCCCAATTGGTTTGGTGGTGCTATATTCGAGTTCCATTAACCAACTAACTGTTACAGTGAGTAATGAGGACGTTGGCTGTCCAGTGATTTGCAGCGACTCTAATGATGTCTACATAGTACCTCTAAATATACGTTGAACAACGTGTAGCGTAGTGATAAAAGGCGCGCTACAGCACACAGTGGATTGTTACTTCGTTCGATCCCGCGTTCTGAGCTCACTAAGCCTTCCATCGATCTAGGGTCGGGCAGTTGCTGCTAGACCACTCTGGGAGAACGAAAAACACCGACTTGTTACATCGCCAGGCTTCAGTAAATCATTGTACGAACCGAATATGCAGTAGTTCACCTTAACGATGCTTTATACGGTCGAATGCATAAGCTGTACCCTTTGAGGGTTAATCAACGCCGAATCCTTTGCCGTTTACCCTTTTTTGGATATGCTGTGTTACAACTTTTCGAATTTTTCGAAGCGCATGAGATGTGAGAAGTTAAATAACCTGGTAGCTGTGTCAGCTATGTATGCCACTAACTTAGTTCTTCAATTGGTGTTACTTATTCGTGATCTCACTCGCATAATGGAAGGAAATGTAAAGGTTTCTATTGTCAAGTGGAAGACAGAGGAAAAACCGACATGGGAATAACTAGTGTAGACTAATTTTAACTCTTCTTAGGCCAACCGTCGTTTGACCTCGTGACTAATTATCAATACTTTTTTGGATTATCGAGCTATCACGAGGCTGATAAAGATTTTTATCAGCCTAACCTCTCGACGTTTCGACGTTAGTACCTTTTTTTCTAGCTCCATGCTGGCTGAATAATCCAAGAAAATGTTAACTTCTAAGTGATCCTTAAACTCTATCATTACTCTTTGCTGTTTTGAAGGCTAATCGACCTAATGATTCCCTTATTTTCTTGTATTAGAAAATCAAAACACACTTCGTCACTCCAAGAATTTTGTTTAAAAATTCTTACACTATTTGTCGTTCAATCATATGTACGGTGACGCAACGTACGGAAGAAACACCTTTGAGAATCCCGTCGACGAACTGATTTGACCACAAATCAAAGATCGAATGTCATCGAACAATGTTAGTCCTCCAGCCTCTTAAGGCTGTAGTTTATCCAAGCAGTAGAAAGTTTGTTTTCTGTTCGAATGTGTTCTATTTGACTTCGATTTAATCAGCTTTTTATTGGTTAACTCTTTTCATCCCCACTAGAATCTGAAGGGCTAAGAAGTGTGCGTTAGACACAAGCAATCCGAACGACTTGAACAAAGAAGTCGGAATGCTAATGTCTGTTATTTGGGTTCCCGTTTTTTGTGCTAGATTTCATCGTTGAGATTCTTGTTCACGCTGTTTGATGTAGTATGACATCACTATGTAGACGTTTCTTTATGATGTTACGAAAAAAAAGAAGAAGATAACGTCAGTAAGGATGAATACGGTATACTGGTCGATGTTGTGACTTAATTCTTTTGGAAGCCAATGTTTCCTTACGCAGACAATGTCTCTGGAAAACGTTAGGAGTTGATCAATGTCTATGCACTGAAATCCACTCGTAATATACTTTCGAAGAACTTCTATGTATATTTAACTTTAGTCACAATGATTTGTTATTCCCTGGCGGTGTATTATGTCGTCGATTTTTAATCTCCCAGGCAAATTTGACGCAAACTGGAAGACCCAGGCGAACACAGAGCTTAAATCTATGTAATTGTTAGGAACTCCCAAGTAATGTTGGTAACAACTGTTATTCCTGTTGTCGTAATGATTCTATAGGTGACATTCCAGCGACTTCGCTTTCTTCAGAATCTCGATATATTCTATGTAACGCTATCCATATAATTCGGTGAATTGTCTATAATACTAATAAAGATCCATTATATAAATGAGCGCCACTCTCAAGGCTTGAAGAAATCCGGGATAAAACCGGCGGCCTTATGTATAGCTCATGGCAGCTCTAACCGCTTAACTACAAGTGATGTGACATGTGGAAGAAAAAAAAACGTTAAATTGGAAAATAATATACTCGGGTACGATGGTTGTTGTCTTTGTGGCTGGTAACTAGTAACGCTTACGCTGTCACTGCGGTTCGGCTGCTAATCTTCAACGCTGTCTCATCTCGACCGTGTTCTTTTCGAAGCGGAGTTACTCCGGGAAGTGCAGAACTGCAGGAATGAATTAGTCATCGTCATGACTTCATCTAATGAGTCACCGTTTGGTGTAATTTTCAATTGTGTGCCAGTAAATGTTAAGTGAGATTATCAGTTCCTCTTTCGCATTAGACGCCCATCGAATCCTTGCGGAAACTGTAGAGCAAAAACAAAAATACACTGAAACGAGAGTTTCTTAATTTAAGTCCCATTTCAAGCAATTTGAAGGTTAATGTACTTTCCTTCATTGATAAGCTAACACGAGCTTCTTAAAGGATAAAGGATAAAGGATAAAGCTCTTGGCGTTGATCAATCCCTGATGGATGCTCCATGCATTCAACTTCATTAAGTATCGTTGGAGGTGATTGAATGCTTATCTGACCTTTACAATAACTCGCGGTGACCTACCGATATATCGAGCCAGTGCTGTTATCCTTCTCAGGCAGGTCTGGCACCAATTTGCCGACCTCGGAGCGATGGAGGCCTTGGCGGCCCATGGGGCGTGGATCGATTCCACGTGTGTGTCACAGTGGCGTTTCCAACCACTGCGCCACACGCGCCCACGAGCTTCTTGCCAAGCATTTATTCCGCTGACCTTTCGAAGCCTTCCTTTTTTCAGAGTTAGCGAAGAAAAATACATCTGCCCATACTTTGTAGTGTACTGAAGTATCTACGACTGTTCATACTGAAATTTGAAAGCCAGTTTACAGTAATGATTTATTGATAATTTTTTGCTTTATAACTTTTATTATAGTGAGTTATAATGTTATCAATTTCCATTGGAAGTACATACCACATTTCAACAAGCTATATATCGACAAAGTGTTGTTTCCTTTTTAAATAGGGTATTACAAGAGATTTACTCCGCTTCTATTCTGTAGCATTTAGATGAACTTGTCGCCACATTGGAAACAGTGAACATTGGCGTCGAATCGGGTGTATGGTACGTGAATCCATGGCTCAATTTCTTCGGCTCGTCCCGCGTCGACGAATGACACACGGACGAGTTTACTCGGTCAGTCAAGGGTGACGACGTTTCTTTTCAGTGAACGTGACACACGAATAGAAGGCGATGTTGTCGTTCGGGCTCGCGGACTTCCATGGCAAGCGTCCGACTGTCATGTTGCGCAGTTTTTTGCCGGACTCGAAATCGCACCGTAAGCGTCAAGATTTGTTATCGATCGATTTTTTTTGCAGTGGATTACTGAAATTTTGAGTGTTGAGAAGTGGGTGGAAAGGTGACGATGTTAAAATAACGAAACCATTATTACTAGTAGTTAGAAAATAAAAACAGAGCTCATTTCTTAACTCTTTTATTTACTGCCTTTTTTCTTCTTAATGGCAGGTTATGTTGCGAAATATAACTCGTATGAAATGCTGAGATATTTGCAACAGCGGTAAGGACAACAGCGCGTGTTCGTTCTCCACTGCATACACCTGTGGTCCGGAGTTTTGCAAATATCTTAGCATTTCATAAGAGCTCATTTCTTTCGACAAATATGACCACTTCGTTCGCGCTTTCTAAAATCTTAAAAGGTTCGTTATGCATTATTTATGGGATCATGCTTGATTTATGAGACACTCAGTATTGAAGCTCAAGCATTCATGGGCTGTATAATTCATCTTTTAAGTTTCATTTTGCTTCGTTTTGTTTGAATTGGTGGTTTAGTCTGCTCATAATCTCTATTTTCATTGATCATTGTTGAGCACCTACTTAATAAATTACTGCAAACCATATTTAAATTCACATTAACTAAATGAAATGTAGATGACAGTATTGATCGGTCGATTTTTTAGGGGTGGCATAGCACTATGCTTATCAGCCGAAGGTCGTCGTAACGGTGAAGCTTTAGTTCGATTTAAGACACCTAAAATGCGAGAACTAGCACTAAAACGGCATCGACATTTCCTATTGTCAAGGTATTGGTTCATTGATTGGTAGATCAAGATTGCATGCATGTGCTCTTAGAAGAACTCTGAGAATCACAAAATTTAACGCTGAACTGTCATTCTCAATCAGCTCATCGACACCTGCTGCTGTGTCCCTATTGGTTTATTTTGTCTATCTAATAAAGAACTCTAGCTATTACGTTTAATTGAAACTTCTTCATTTCTTACTTGGATGGCCCGTCTTTACTGGTTGTGCGGCTCCCAGCATAATATCCATTCCTCGGAGTTTTTCTGGTTTAGCCATGGTGTTTCCCTGAAATCCTGAGACCGGCCTGGCCAAAGTCTGCTCCAGGTCTTCACCACTTACAGACAGTCGCAGTCTCTGTGGATTAGAGGGAGATTTGCTACGATGCGACTTTGATACCAAGACGGTGATGGATCCTGGTATTGGTTTGCTTTTAGTCAGCATAGCTTCCTGATGGAAATGCCGGACTCCTTCTCAGCTTGGGACACCCTGCCGGAGCGACGAATCCCCCGCTGTACATCGCAGTCCGACACGCAGGAACACCTTCCAGCCACGATAAAGCGGTAGACTGCTGGGAGAAACTTCCTCATTTATGATACTTTAATTAACACTGAGGAATCGCAATGAGTTGGTTTCAACTCATGCGATGCGAAAACAATGGCCATCCTTAGACTTTAAACTAACATGTCTTTAATGTCTAACATAAACTTTGTTAATTGCGCTAAAAAGCTCTAATATCTAAAAGTATTACCTGCAGAATAAAGGATAAAGAATGAACAAAAAAAACATGGATAAAGAAAGAGGATATCTGCCCCATTTGTATAACCACAGTGTGGAATACTGATTTTGACCAGCAGTCGTAGTTTGTTCAATTTTTTTTCCTTCAAGGTTCGTATATCGAAAATCAACCTATTTGAGCAAGCGTAATTTTGTCCGTTGGAACACGATGAAGCTGAAATGCGTTCTTATTGTTTATTGTTGCCGGTGCGTGTTGCGCAGTAGTCGGGGGAGCTCTGAAACACACACGTAGAATCGATCCCTGTGCACATGATACACCAAGCCTTCCATCCTTCCGGGGTCGGCAATTTGGTACTAGACTTGTCTGGGAGGATAGCAGCACTGGCTCGGTACATCGATAGGCCCAGCGCGTCATTGTAAAGGCCAGATATACATTCAGTCACCTCCAAACGATGCTTAATGAAGTCGAATGCATGACGTATCTCTCTGGAATTGATCAACGGCGAGAGTTTTATCCTTCCTTGAAAATGTTAATCCTGAATAGCTTTGAAAACCAAACAAAGGGCTTAAAACCATAGTCACTTGTAACTATATAGAGTAAAGTCTCTTCTATAAGTCGATCACGTTTTCAACACCTCAAATTCCTAGTTATCCAAAAATTATCAGCAATTCCCTAGAAACCAGCTTTGGGCCTATATGAATGTGTCGTTTTCTTGTTCAGCAACCGCGAGGTTTTTAAACAGCATACATTTACTTCCATAAAAACACAATACAATACAACGCTAGCTGACGTTTCGGCAGTATCGCCTTCTTCAGAGCCTGGAAGGGTATACTGATATACAATCTACTAGGCCAAACGCTTCAATAACACTTACACAAAGACGAAAGACTCTTTGGTAATTACACGATCAACAACTTCTCGAAAAACCCACCGCTTTTTCGTGACTTCCAATGAGGAAGTTTAGAACAGCTGATTATAGTTGCATGTGGTTGACGACTGATTATAGTCGCATGTGGTTGGGCCTATATGTTTAAATTATTGTGTTTTTTAATCTATTGTTTATTAGGTTTATTCATGTTGTCATGACGTTCTTTAACACACTGGCCATAGTATGAGCTATATATGAGTCATCTGCTTGCCATCTTGTTGCATTTCCATACAGTTATGTCTACTATATGTGCTACTTGCTATATTTCTAGTTTTCTATGAACATCGTTATCGTATCTTTGTTTCTACTCTATTGCTGATTTTCTACGATCGTTAGCATTATTACTGGACAAAGGACGAAAAGCACAGTGGTAATAATGCGCGAATACCGTAGTGGTTCGACACCACACCGAACACACCAAGCCTGTCATCCTTCCGGGTCGAGAATTTGATACGAGACTTGTCTGAGGCCAACTTATTCCTTCAAGTCCACGTAGGAACGCTCAGGACAGCTATCTCAGGACTCCAGGACGAATGTACTCGACCAGCATTCAACGACAGTCATAATGAAAATGATAATCCTCGAGCCGTCACCAAACTCACGCGTGAAAATTTCAAAGACTTTAGTAGATGGTGGGTTCGAAGAAAAGCTGGTAATGCAAAAAGTGCTGGGAGCCGCACAGTAGATGCGAAGATTGTTTGTGCATAAAAAATTATTGCATTACAACCACAATGATACCGAGATATTTGCAAAACTTGTATTGCAAACCAGATTCGACTCGCCATTGCCCTTTCTGAGGGATCACGTGTTACTCGCTGAACCACTGAAGCTCTTGTTTTGCCTTTGGCTCAGCGTTTCTCCTTGGAAAGCGTTAGATTGAAAGATAAACGAGCGAAACCGACATTGCTCTTGATTCCAATGTGCAAGTCTATTCACAAGATGACCTCACTGTCTTTATCGAACTGGAATGTCTCACAATCTGTAAATGTCAAATGTCATATACATATCGATATGGTGAGAAGATTTCTATTAGCTTCATAGCACAAGCGTGTTAGATGGCCACAGATCATTTTCGGTGTAACCTTCATCTCTATCCTAATGATGTCTAGCAAGCTGTGGGTATACTCGCTTCAATGTTAATAGAGAAATTCTCGTGCATTTTCAAAAAACCAGCTTCTTCACGAATGTGTCAATGGTTTGCCACCATGTTATAGCAGGGTTCAATTAGGTATTAGGAAAAAACGTAGTAACCGTATTTTGTCTTAGCTGGGTCCAACAGAGATTGACGATGCTCTAAAAGAGGCTTACAATAGCTCCAAAATTTTCGAACGGTTTGTATTACTTCGACAAGTTCTCAAATCATTAGAACCTTAAATTTGTACACTGAATATAATTAGCTAGGGAATAAGTGCGTCTCCGGATTATTCGATTTTATGACAGTCATCGTCATTTCTTCCTTTGAATTTTCCTTCTTAATACTGAGATATTTGCAAAACTCTGGACCGCAGGTGTCTATGGTGGGGAACGAACGCGCTATTGTTCTTTCCGGGGAGTAACGCATTCACCACCACACCATGCGGGTCCTTCGTTTCGCCTGTCTCTCAGCTATTTCTATCGATCTTTTTGCCACAGCAATCACCCGTCAGCGGGGTTGATCTGGGGAGCGCAAATCGGCATAGAACCCAGTTAAGCTATGGCTGTAGTTGAAATCACAATGTTTAACGTTTTGTTTTCTGCCTTTTATAATTTTCATGGCAGGTTACTAAGCGAAGAAAACAAAACGTTAAACATTGTGATTTCCTTCTTAAGTTGAAAAACGACAGCCAGTTTTTACTATAACGGTACCACCAGCAATAATCCGTCAACGCGAATGATCTGAGGAACACAAACCACCATTGACTGGAGCCTCAGCTTAACGGTGTTCAGTGCCGATTTGTTCCCCCCAAATCATTCCCGTTGATAGGTGATTGCTAATGGCACCGTTAAGGTAACAAAAAAGTGGTTGAGAGAAAGGCAGAACAAGGGTCTCAATGGTGTAGCGGGTAATACATGAGCTTGTGGTGGGCGGGCTAATCACGGGTTCGAATCTGGTACGGTGGCCGAGATTTGCAAATATGCCATCATCATTGAGTGTGTATATGACATAATACTCTGCCGTGAAAAAATAATGGGCAACAGGAAAAAAGTTAAACATTGAAATTACTGCCTTATCGTTTTCTGTTTACTATTTTTCTGACAGAAAGGTGAAATTATGGGCTGAAGTTAAGTGCGAAAAATTATTTTTAATATTACATTATGATGAATTATTATATTTTTGAAAACTAATTATAAAAAGTTACAAATTATATTACAATATATGTAAGTAATGTTACATTTTTATTATAAATTATATTATTATAAATATTATAAAAAAGATGTTTAACCACAACAATGTTGATACATTTGCAAAACTCTAGACCACAGGTGTCCGCATTGGGAATCGAACGCGCTACTGTCCGTCCCGGAGGCTAACGCGTTCAGCACCACGCCATGCCCTTCCCTCGTTTCACCTGTATCTCAGTTTTGTCTATCGATCACTGCCATCATCAATCACCCGTCAACGGGATTGATTTAGAGAGCCCACATCGGCAATGAACACGGTTAAGTTGAGGCTGTGGTTGAAACCACAATGTTATTTTTTTTATTTTCTGCTTACTAAAATTTTTACGGTAGGGTATTATGCGAAATACAACCACTACGATGCTGAGATATTTGCAAAACTCCGGACCGCAGGTGTCCGCGGTGGCGATCAAACATGCTACTACCCTTTCCGGGGGCTAACGCGTTCACCACCACACCATGCGGTTCCTTCGTTTCGTCTGTCTCTCGGCTATTAAATATTTAAGTTGTCTCGATTTTTTTTTCTTATTAAGCAATCCGGCAGCCAGATCTCAAACAAGGTCAATGGAAACAATAAATGATGAAAGCGTCACGTAATTTAATGATAATTTCAGATACATAGAGGTATATAAAGCGACTGCCGAAGAGTTTCTACACGTTGCAGCTGGTTAGTTTGATTTTTTCTCTCAGGAAATGTTACTTGTTTTTTTCGCTATTTTCTCATGGTTTTTCGTCTTATTTTTTCCGTTTCGCGAAAGCTTCGTTTGTGTTTTTCGTCTCCCGGATTCGTATACTATTTCCTTGAAAAACTTGCATTGCGCGTCAGCTCAGCAAAACATTGCGAATCATGACAGAGGTAGAGATCCACTGTCAATCCTGACGTTGGGTCGCTTTTTTTTTCTTTGGCTGCAAAAAATCTGCTGGTGATTTTTGATCTTTTCCGAAAATCCCTATACTTACTGACTTCATTTCCATCTCTGA